TCTGCTTCTGTATGCTTTTTTCAGATTAAATAAGCTGTCTTTAAACAAGAAATGAAATTTGAAATAACGCAGACGAGCTGCACCAAGTCACTGCTGATCTGTGTGCATATACCTTGCAGCTTTATTTGAAGAATTGCTTTCCTAGTTGCTACTTAATTCTGTATCATCCTCATTTAATTTCATGAAACAGAAGCAAGAATAGTACTTACTTAAGAATAACACTTCTTCGGTAGACCAGCTTTCTGGGGTACATCCCAAAGAAGCAAAATTAGTAACACAATTCTGAAGAAAGCTTACGTAAAGCAGATGTGTAGGCATTAAAACACAGTCTGACAGTGTCCTGACCCAGCTAGACTTGCTTTATTTCTGTGCCCCTGGCTAGCAGGTTTTCTTTTAACCTGGAGCTCTGCTTAGATCTATTTTCAGTCTTCGATCCAGAAAGTTGGTTTGGAAAGAGGGTGTAACAAAAATCAGTACAGGTTTTAGGCCATCACAGAGATTGTGATATCCATGTCTTCAGAATCTTCTGTAGTTTTCTCTGGAAGAGAAGCAGGTGTTCACTGCCAAACATATGACCAATTTCTGACCTTTTTGTCAGACTAATAAGTATAGATCTGCAGACTCATGAGTTTCTTACACATCTGGGCTTGCTGTGAAACTAGTTTTGTGTCTGAATGAGGCTGTTATTGCTTTATATAGGTAATTGATTCTTACTGCCCCATGAAACTGACAGTTTTACAAAGAATATTTTTAAATAACATTACTTCAGTTAGACTGGTCCAAAGACAGACTGAAGAAGCTAACAGATTTGATTTTGTGTGCTAAGCTTTTTCTACCATAGAGCACACATAACATCAAATAAGCTCTTTTCTGATGGTAAACACCCATCATACCTTCAACTATCTCAATAATAATTAGCCTGCTTGCTATGTGTTCCTTTTTCTTTTTGATTCCTGCAGAGTTTGTAAACAAAGCACATGGTGGCATTGCCATCTACACACATTTCTAAAAAAATTATCTGTTCAAAGGGGCTACGTATCAATTGCTAATTTTATCAGCATTTGTTAATGAAATTTTGTGTAGTTCTGTAAAATAAGTCTCTCTATACAAGTGTGTGCGTCTTCTCTGAGAGTGAAGAATTGCTGAATGAATTGGGCATAAAACCAATGGGAATGCGTAATGTCACCCAGGAATAAAGTGTAATCTCTACACTCTAAATTCAGTTTGGTCATCAGAGTAGTTTTTGTATTAATTTTTTTTAAAAAGAGCCTTTGTCTCAGTGCTACAATGAGAGGTCGGGTTTTACATATACTCTGCTAAATCTACCTGTCAAGCTGAAAATTCTGCAGCTTTAAAATAATGCTAATTTTTATACAAGACAAGTTCCTTCTTCCCAGAAGAGGTCTAATGATCTCATTATGTATGCAGAGTTCTCCTTACAAAAATATCTTACAATTAGGGTTAAATTCAGCTTGGTGTAAATGCAGAGTAAATTGGCTAAGTTTGAATTCACGTGCGCAGAATGTGCACTTCAGTGCTGAATGTAGTGCCTAATTTGTTGCTTCTCAGTGAAACAGTACTTTTTTTTTTTTTTTTTTTTTTTTTGAGGGCTATGTAGTGGAATACTTTCGAGTAGGAAGATTATTGCAATTTGTGTCATTTTTCTGTTTTGCACATGCTAAATTCATTACTGAAGAATTTTCCTCTTGGAACTTCCCTGCCAAATAGGAAACAGAAGACAATTTTCTAATTGCATTATAGCATTTAAATATGCCAACTTGTAGAACACCTTTTAATAACTCAAATTTTGGTACAAAGGACCTTCAAATAAAATCAACTCGGGGAATGCCATTGCTGTGCTTTAGGAAGGAAAAAACAGCACTGGTAACTGTCCACCTACCTAAAGAAATAATACTGTAGGAACAGGAAATTATAAAAACAGCACTTTTTAAACCTGTTTTGCATTGTTAATTATCATAGTTTAATATTTTAGACAATAAAAAAGTTTGCATCACTTTATGATGCAAGTATTGAACATGAGTTTGTAGAATTCTGTACAGTATATGCTAAATAAACAAGTTTGGCAGCTTAGCAAATACCTCATGATTGCAGCATCCATGATTTGAATTCAAACAGTGATTTATTCTTCTGCAAAAAGTTTGTAAATCAGAATAGCACACTCCTCGGTTCTGGACAGCATCTGGACTCCAGTGAGTTTGAGAAAAATGTTTTTAGTGCATGGCCACTGTGCAGAACTGCCTAAATCAAACAATTGTCTCCTTTGAGTTCCTTTTGAGGGACTGCTGGCCCAGCAGGGATTGCTGGCTGGAAGGGACATTGGCAGACTGTGGCATTAGGAGGATCACCCGCTGATTGGTCCGACGCCATTCATTGTATAATCTACAGTGATACCTAAAGGATACCTGGGGACAGAAGAGATGCACTGTGTTTAGAGACACTGCAGTCCTCCAAGGAGTCAGTTGGGGTTTTGGGGGAAACACCTTCAAGTGGAACATAAAGCTGATAAGCGGCCTAACTAAGTGGGATAAAAATGAGCAAAATGTGGTGGGCAAAGATGAGACCTACCATGTAGATGGCTTGTTCCCCATGCTGCCGCAGCAGAGACGAAAAGCAGCCTGTGCCCTACTTTCTGCTGTTGCATACCCCTCATTCCCTTTTCTATAACATGAAAAATCAGGCATCCTGCCTCTGTCTTTCCCAAGAACTAGAATTATTGGCAGACACTTAACAATGAAAATGAGGTTGGAGTACTATCATGCTACAAGTTGCTGAACTGACAAATAATGTAATTGGCTAGATGAAGGCTTGCAGATAGCTGAGCTGTGTGCAGATGCTGACAGGGTTGTATGTTCTACCTTGTAATGCTTTATTGCTGAATGCATCAAGTTCAAGATTGCACAGATGCAACAAGTGAGTGTGAGCCATCTGCCAACATGTGTACCTCAATTTAGATTGTCTTTGATTTTTGTAAAATTGTTATCAGCTAACCAATTTCAATCTTAGTGTAGTTCTGCTAATATGGAAGAGAAATGGCCGACTACTGTGGATATATAAGCTAGCTTGGCCTGATGCTTCTTAAAAATAGTTTATTGCTTACTTTAGTGACAGCCAAGTGTAGTGAGAGTTATGTCTGTGTAAGATGATGTACGTGTGCAGTTTTAGATAAAAACAACTGTAAACCGGCTTTGGGACCTTTTGCATGAAATGTGCCACATGACAGCTCTTCTGTCTTCATGTGTAGCCGGTCATTTGTCACAGTTCTTTATGCACCAGTGACACTTCTGTAGGTCAATGCTACTCAGAGGGCAGAGGGTGCCATAAAAGCTGGAGGTAACATGCTTGGTTTGCACAGGTGGGTGGAGGGTGCTGGTGCTGCAGAGAAGTGGCTGTGCTGCTTGCTTTCCTACCCCTACAGCAATGATGGCCTAGCTGACAGCAAGGTATGGAGGGATATTAAGTAATATGCATGTGTATGAATGTAGCCCTCAAAACCCTTTCCTTATTGCAAAAGGGGTGCTTTTAACCAAATAAATTATTTGCCTTTTTTGTCACTAACAGGATTTTATAGAAAGACTTTCTGGTTTTTTATTACATCTTTATACAGCTGTCTGCTGTTAACAAGGGAAACCTATAGAGCTTTTGTTCACAAAGCAGTTGCCTAAAGTCAGCTCTTCCAGCAGATGAGTTGATTCCCCACCTTTCAATCTCCTCTTCTCACCCTGAAGGTAAAGCAGTCTGCATCTTTAGTTCTGTGGAATGTTGTATATGAAAGAACATGAGAAATCTCTTTTAGAAAGTGCAGTATCAGCAGAAATGATGTGGTACAAAGAGGGGGGAAAAAACACTTGCAAAGAAAAATGCCATGCAAAATGCAGTGACTGCTTCAGAGGAGTGAGCTAAAGTTTAGGTTGTTTTCAAGTAGCATCACATAAGATTCTTTGAGGAATGGTTGCATTGTTAACCCAAGCTTTAACTGCTTGTTTGTTTAAGGCATTTTCACAGGATATCCTACTTAAGTTTGACAGCTTGTTTACAATGGGTTCTTGCCTGGAGGCAGTTTCCAAGTGATGTCAGCTACTGAATTTCAGCAAAGACAGTTATTTGCCCTAAGCTATTAAGTTCCATGCAAAACTCTAGATGCTGAACAAAGGCCAGATTTACATTGGTCCTTTTTTGCCTCTTCAGTAGGACACAGGTGTCTATCTAACTTTGAATTAATTTGGGCTAGCCTTTGTTTGAAAGCAGTAGTCATGTTATACTAGAAGCTGCAGGGTCAAATCCTGTTATACTCCAACTTGCTACTTACAGGAGTCAAGATTACCAGGGTGCAAGAGAAGGCAGAGTGTGACACCGAGTTCTTAGTTTAAACAGCAATCTCAGTTTTGTGTCTGAAGCTTTCTCCTTGAGAGCAGCAGCCTTCTTTTTTTTTTTTTTTTTTTTTTTTTTGGTATGGGTACATAATTTACAGTGATTAAATGCAGAGGAAAAGCAACAACATTTCATGGAGAACTTAGCTGTTTTACGCGAAGGGATAAAATAGCTTCTTGGGTGCTAAAAATAGCATCTCTCCCATTCTCTACTCACTGGATAACTGTGGTGTGTAAATAATCTATATGCCAAGTTTAAAAAGAAAATAAACTGATTTATTGGAAGTAAAATGAAGTTTTAGTTTTCTTAATTTTCCCAGGATCTAAAGAAGCATTATATCATGTGTGTAATTTACCCCATGGCACTCAATAGATTCTCTGCAGAGCCATAACTAAGCAAGCAGTACAAGATTCTCCCATCTCAGAAAATTAGACGGCAGGTGCTGCTGAAGCAATGGATGGGGTTAGCACTTCTGTGTGTGGGTCCGTTCCTTGCTGCATGGCAAGGGCAGCGTGGAGCCTCCCCAAGGCAAATGCAGGATGAGGCTTTTCTGCATGATTGATGGGTCCAGGCTGCTGAGCAGAAAGCAGGCATGTCTTCCCTGTGTAGAACGATCAGTGTCATTTGTAAAGTAGTTGCTTTAAATCTCTAACTTGCTTTTGCAAATCTGCCCTCTGAGAAAGTGTGTGAAAATGTTGCCACTCAAACCTATTGATTTAATCAGCAGATATACTTCAACCTCCTCAAAACCGTTCCATCCAGTACAAATGCTGTGAGGGCAATTAGGCAATTTTTACACTGTGAAGAGAGCCTCAGAGTTCTTCCTGCCATGTCCCTTTGTTGTGCCCACTGAATTAAACCCATGATGAACAGGAGGGTTACTGTGCCCTGAAAGGCTTCCTGCCCTGCCATTCCCTGGTGAACACAATGCTTCGTTAGCCCATCCACCTCCTGCTGGTCTGAATAACAGATTAGAGTGGAATTAAATCCTCCACAACTCAGTGGACATTAAAGATACTGTATTTCAATTAAATCAACCAAGGTATGCATTTACATCAGGCTCGCTATCACCATGTTCTCCAAGGGCCAATAACACATTTCTCTGTATGCTTTTGAAGGGGTAAAAGTTACAAAGTCGATAGAAGGGGTTTTTGCCACTTCTAATGCAAATGCACTGAGATGCTGCAGAAGTCTTAATGAACAAGGTCAGGTATGTCCATGTGTCATGTGTAAATAAATCCAACTACTCAGCCATGCTGCCCTTTTCAACTTCCAACCATTTTGGTGCTTGTGAACTATGTGTATGAGGGAAGTTGGACAGCATTTGTGTTTCTAAGACAGTCGTACACTAAGGAAATTTGAACAACCTTTGTTTGAATACCTGACAGACATGTATACACACAGTACTGCAAGAAAGACAAGTGCCACCTCACTGCTGGAATAAATGGCCATCCTGTCAAAGGGGAGTGCTGCTGCTTCTGCTTCATGGAAAATGGAAGAAGAAACAACAAAAAGAGAAACTGCAAGGGGCTGAGGCAAAACTCTAAGCTGTCCCTGCAGTTAGGCATTGATAAAATTAGGCTGCAGTCCTCTATGGATGAGACAAGGTTTGGTTTCGCTGTTACGAATGAAGTAAATGAGATGTTACCTTTCGTAGCTTTCTTGGAGCTAGTTGTTAGGTAGTCTGGGGTTTCTGTGTTTCTCCCCACCTTCCCTTTTCCAAACTTACTCTGAGCTCAGCACAGGAGTTTCTTGCTGTGTGCTAGCTCTGCTAATGCAGTTCTTAAAGTGACAGCTCCTCAGCAGCTTACACTGATCAGAAACTGCTGGAAGGGGTTAGCCATACCCCGTGCAGCTGTACCCATGGAGGGGCAGCTGGGCGCTGGCCCTGTGGCATTAGTGGCCATGCCAGCACTACAGGCAGGCTCTTGCCCCAACTCAAGGCAGCACAGGCTCAGACAAGCTTCTCCTCCCACAGCAGCACAGCCTTGCACCACTGCACAAGCATCACCCTGTTACTGTGATTACTCCCTATGTCCACAGTTCTGTTCTCCTTCCCCCCACCAGAGCTAGAGCTGTGAAATGTCAAACTCAACAGAAGCCTGCAGTTTGCAGTGAACTGCCAGACCAGGGCTTGATAAACTCTTATTCTGGCAGGTGTCCTCTGGATTCCTTTTACTTCTGCTGGGCCAACTTTGTTGGTGTGCTGGGGCCAGGAACTGACCACAGTTTGACAACTTGACACAAAACAAGTGTCTTTTAATATGGAGCAGCACACAGTTGACAGCACGCCTGGGTGCAGGATGGGGATAAGGAAGCGATTTAATCTGCACTGCAAAGGCAGCTATGTTTCTACAGACCTGGGTGTAAGGTGTGTTCTGCTGTGGACTTCCCATGGTGCCACAGGAACAAGGAAAAGGGAAAGTATGGGATGCACCCACATCTAAGGCTTTTGAATTGTAAAACTGGCCAGATGTTGGATCAGAATAAAATCTGGATCTTCTGTGGCAGACAGGTTGTTCACCTAAAGCTTTTTTGTGTACTGTGCCTTCGCCTTTTGCACATTATTTTTCATGAAACTCCTTTCTGTAGCAGCTGTCTTGAACTCCTCCATGTTACGTCCTTGTCTCCCTCTTGCTACCCCTCTGGTATTTGGGGTTTGGAAATTACTGACGCCAAAGGCTAACTGTCTTTTTTGTTTTACAGAGAATTTGAATGGTGTGGCACCAAGAGGTTTCTTGCAGATAAAACTTAAATTTATCATTATCAGTACAGAAAGTAAACATAAGCAAGGCTTTGTACAATGGTCCACCCGCTCTACAGCCCTCAGTGTAATCAATTTTGTGATTTGTTCTTTCCCTTATTCCTCTGAGTTGAATAGAAAAACCAATACTTACTAGGGTCCAAAAGAGGTAAATAGTGAAGAGTGCGACAGTGAGTGCAATGAGGCCAACAGCTTCTAGCCTACTACTAAAGTGCAGATGGTCCACCGCTCCTCGTAGACACAACCAGCCAGAGATGGTCGCCAGCGGAGTGATAAACAAGAAGCATACCATGTCTCCAACGAGAGTCCGTTTCTCATGCTGGGGGCCTGGGTTCCTCAGCCACTGCAGGCAAAATGCAGACAAAGCACATGTCAGCACAGGGAGGTTGTTTTACTCGAGGTGAATTGCTCACTTGCAAAATGCAGACCTGCCCCTTCCAGGAGGGAACATGGAGCACATGCAGGATGTGGCTTTGACTGTCCCTACACAGTTCCAAACTCCTCCCCCTTGCTCCCTGCTTATGCACCTCTAGCCATGTATACCTATAGCATTGTTTACTCAGCTGTAGGAAAAGTTGCCCTGAGGAAGGGAAGTGTTTTGCATAGTGCAGCCCCTGGCATTTGGCTGCTGAACTGTTTGAGAAACTCCCTTCTTCATGTGGAAAGAATCACACACTCTCCTGACAACTTGAGAGTGAGGAAAATGTTAATATTTTGTATGCTGTTTTGTTGTTTTGTTTTTGTTTTCTTTTTTTTTTTTACATTCTGATTGTAATATTGGCAAAGCCATTTTCAACTTGCTTTCAGATATCTGCATGCAAGCAGAGTTGAATGCACATGAGATTATGTCTATCAAAACGATAGTAATATCACAAAAGAGAGTGCCTAGAAGTCAGCTGGTGCAGTGAAGGTTGACTGAACAGCTATCAAGCCCACACACACATGTTTTTATAAGCAGGATTTTAGATAGCAGAGGTGAAAGAAGTTCAGCCTATGCAGTACACTGAGACCTTTTAATCAAAAAACCTCACTGCTCAGATCAACTTTTAAACAGGAATACTACCCCACCTTGCCATTTTTGCCACTGTAGGATTTGGTCAAAGCTGCTCTGCAGCATCCTTTAATTTTTTTTGTTCTTTGAGCATATAACCATATGCATGGTACTACCAAGGATAGCAAATATTTCTTACTGGGGCAGCTGGGAACCCAGCCACCCTGGGAGCTGTACAGGCTGATAAGGCTTTGAGCAACCTGGTCTAGTGGGAGGTGTCCCTGCTCATAGCAGGGGGTTTGGAACTCAATGATCTCTAAGGTCCCTTCCAACCCAAACCTTTCTATGATTCTGTTACCCCAGCCACTGAGGGCAAACACACCACATACACACATACACACGGGACTGTCTCTGACCCGTAGAGTCCACGCTCTAAGCAGAGGAGTCACAGACAGGAATGGGCAGTAGAGGTGGAGTGAGCTGTCACAACCCAGCTGTCTTCACGGCGGGAGCTGGGCACAGGGCAGGCCATTGATTCCCAGTCTAGCACATGCCCTCCCAGATGCCTAGCTGTGAATGCTTTCTTGCTGAAGGCAAGGAAAGTCATGCTCCTCCAGAGAGCTATTGCATTATCTGTCTTCAGCACAAAAAAACCCCAAAGCCATTGCAGATCTGTGCCAGCACATGCGGGTAGACTCACACATCCTTAAACTGTTTGGCCCTTTCATTTCTCCCATCATATTATACGGGGCAGTAGAAGTCCTGGTGCTTTAGCTCCAGAAAATAAGGTTGGAGAGGCAGCTTCATCCTTTTACCAGTTAATGCCCTTTATTCCCAGCCCCCTTGTTTTTTTGTGTTTTTTTTTTTTTTTTTTCCCTATTACAGTGCTACAGCAATGACCCAGAAGAACAGCAGGAGTCAAGACTTTTGACAAGAGAGGGCAAGGCTTAGAGCATTGTGGAAGCTAATTAATATTTCACATTTAGGTATCCTATTCCTATATTTTTTCAGACCCTGCTTCATCTTTTCCCACTTTGCCCTCACGATGAAAACAAATACTGCATTTATCTCTCCATATTCTTACAGGGTGAAATAACAGTCAAGAAATTCAGTGCAACCAGGAACAGGTAGTCACTAATATGGCACTAGCAGAAAAACACAAATGTGTAGACAAGTTTGACTCAGCCTTGCCATCTCCCAGATTGAAATAATAATTATATACTACATAGGAATTTTGTGAGGTTTAACTGCAACTCAGTAACTCAGCAGCCTAAGATCCATTTTTATGTATGACTCAAGAATTTAAGAGAACACAAAAATATGTTCATAAACATTTTTTGCAGGATGAAGGCTTTTAATTTGCTTGAATACTTTAAAAATCCCAAGGAAGTGTGAAATGCTTTATAACTGCTATGTACTAGTATAAGCAAGAAGTTGTAAGGGAAGATGCTAGTTAAAGAGGGAGGCTCAATATTGGGTTTTTTTTTTCCTTTTCAAGCAGTGTCTTAAACTCAAGATTACTTAAAATACTAGAATACTACTTGTGGTGCTAGGTCTGGTCTAGTGGAAGGTGTCCCTGCCCATGGCAGGGGGGTTGGAACTTGATGATGTTTAAGGTCCCTTCCAACCCAAACCATTCTATGGTGCGTTCACCCCAAGCAGCAGCTAAGCACCTACACAGCCGTTTGCTCACACCACCACCCCAACAGTATGGAGGAGAGAACAGGAAAAGACTGCAAGCAGAGCTTTGCTTCAGCAGAGCTTGTGCAAAATAAGGAGACACACGTTTACATCTGAACAGCTTCTTATTTTATTGTAACTTTATAGCAAACACCATAAACTCATGTGTGAAATGCTCACACCACTTCCCTTGGAGCTTTCATTCCATTTACTTTAAACACTCCCAAGGGTGCATACATAACAGCCCCAGGTTATATTTTGTTGCTTCTAGACAGGACTGATTGCAAATTTTACCTTATTCAACTTCCACAAATCCCTGTAATGTAAAACCACCAGGAAAATTAGAGGAACTGAAAGTGCCTGGTAGTGGAGATTCTGCTTTTAAAGGTGACTGTGAAAAGATTTTGTGAAAATAATTTGTTTAAAAGGTGACCCACAGGAGAATTGCTCAGCACCTGCACTTCTCCATCTCAGTAGGAATTGCAGGTGTTCACCACCTTCCCAAGTCACACCTTAAAATGCCAACATCTTATCTCAGTGCTCTGTGGTGACTGACCCCCCTGTAACTGGCAGTGAAGAATGCATTGCAACATTTCAGAGTCCATTTAGCGGAGACTGCATCTTCAAATCGCAGTGTGCTGTGATCCCTTTGGCATCCATGCAGCTCAGCTAGTGCAAGAAATCCTGTTTATTGTTCTGAGCAAGGAGGAAGAACAGCAAGAATACATACGTCTGAGGAAGCACACACATTAAGGCATTAAGACTTCAACGAGAGAGAGAACAATGCACTTGAATTAAGACAATATTTTACAGTGTGCCATCTAACTTGACTGAAAGTTCAAGCAGGCAAAAATGGTGTGAGACTGCTTCACAGCCTGATGGCTCCCTGCACTCCATATGTCTTGTCTGACCCACGTGAACAAAGAATCAAACCTAAGCAATTCAGATATTAGATAGGCTGGGACAGACAAGAGTAGTATTAATAAATAAACCTCCCACCATTTTGCAGTCTAACCTTAAAAGCTGTCCAGATTTCACAAGCTAGTTCTGAAGTGGAAATCAAAAGCAACAAATAAGTAATTTCAATGGCTGTATGGATTTCAGTCACAGCATGTATTTTTCTCCTGAAGTAGTGCACATGTGGTTTTAAACCTGCTTCTGTTTAGATTGTAGGTTTCAGTCTTTTGTTTTGGAAATGTGCACTGTCAAGTTATTCAATAGCTAAAAAACCAAGTCAGCAAATCCTCCTGTGAAAGGGAAACCCACACAACGATCTCAGCAAAGTGCTGAGCTGATTAATTAGCATGGCAATACAGTAGGGACTACTCTCCTGGCAAAGAGCAGACATAAAACCAGATGCAACTGTCAGATCTGTGCTATGATACTCTGAAATCTGTCCTATTACAATATGTCAATGTGCTCACTTATTTATGCAATAAATTGAGACTCTCACAGTATAATTTCCATTTTGAAAAAAAAAAAAAAGGTCATGAAAAGGGTCATATTTGAAATAAAATGCTGGCCTGCCTAGCAAAGCATTTCTTTATCAAGTGCTGTCTTAAAGTGAACAGTGATTCCTGTTCCTGATACACGGGTGGAGAGCCAGAGTAACAAGACCCGAGCAATGGCAGCAAGCATGAATTCAAGAACAGGTAAGAGCAGCACCTGATGCACAACCCGATACTGGTTCATAACTGACACAAGCAAAGAAACCCTGTGCCTGGAGACTAATATACACCTGATGAGAACCCAGTCCCGCAAAGAAACACAGGTCCCACCTCGTCCCTCACAGTGACACATACCAAATGGGCTCTGCCCAGAAGGAAAGTATCCCCCAAACTGTGAGCTAATGGCTGTGGCGGCACGATATCTCTATGCTCTCCCAGCTGTCCATGCCACCCCTTCAGCAGGGGGTTGCACGGACCACACACCCTGCCCCAGCACGGGGGCTCTCTGCTCAGCCCAGGTCAACTGAATGGGGCAGGTGTTGCTGAAATGACCCAGACCATCCGTCTGCCAGGGAACAAGCACTCCCCAAAAGGCAGCTGCAGCAATCGGTGTGGGCAGGGCAACATCTTCAGCTGTGCATCAATTTGCCCAGCAAATGTGTGCCTAAGTCTGCAAGGAGTGGCAAAAGCTCTGCTGAGACACGCTGGTGATCTCTTGTGCTCAGGCAGGGTCACTTCAACTGGAAAATAGAAACAGCATCAAGAAAACAGAAAGCACACACCACAGGAGGGGACTTTAAAAGTTTGACTTATTTATCCCAGCAAAGTCATACTCTAAATGCATCTCAGGGATGGCCAAAAGAAGGGGGAACTAAAGGGAGCACTGGTGAAGGAGAAGTGCTACTTAAGCTAATGGACAGTGCTGGCTTCAGAACAAATGGATAATAGTGGTCCATAAATAAATTCAGGGTAAGGATCAGAAAAAAATTCCCAGCTGTCCTGGCTTTGACTAGGACAGAGTTAACTTTCTTCACAGTAGCTAGTAAGAGGCTGTTTTTTGGATTTGTGCTGAGGAGAAGGCTGATCCCATACTGATGTTTATAGTTGCTGCCAGGACAGTCAAGGACTTTTCAGCTTCTCTGCTGTGCCAGTGTCTGCAGGTGCAGCAGAAGCTGGAGGGAGCACAGCCCTAATGACTAGCCTAGGATTTGACTTTAGGTTTAG